AAAAAACTCTTTATATCCGTTAGCGTAGCTTGTTAGCACCAGAAGCTAACAACTACGATCTCCGGTACCGGTGCGCTCTCTCTCTCTCGCTCGTGCACGCACACAAAATGGCTCATTCCACACACACACAGAGCAGAGCTTTAATTAAACACAGAGACCCAGACGTAATAGTACTGTATCATATTATTTTCGAATCAATAATTAACAAATTATGATTTTTTTTAATCTTTTTTTTTTTAATAACCATTTTTCCTCCTGGTCTCTCGTGCCCCCCTGACATGCCTCTGCGCCCCCCAGGGGGGGCGCGCCCCACACTTTGGGAACCACTGGCTTACATGATTACACAAATTATTTTGTTGCAAGTTATAGTTTTACTTTTGAGAATACTTTTTTAATCTCAAACTTTTCTTTTGCTTGATACTGAAGAAGTGCTGCTTGATCTGATTGATCTGACCTGATTCCAAACAGAGAATAGTTGTTTGGTTAAAGTGTGTATATTGTTGGTGGTGGGAGACAACTTGCCCCCGCCGTCTTCCTCGTGGCCACTAATTCAGTCCCCGAAAAGTGCTCTGGTGTCTCTTCTTCTCTTGTGTTTAACGACAGCTCGCATCACAAATGTTGCATTATTGCCCACCTTCGGGGGTAATTAAATCCAGGGTTGTGAGGGTTATTTAAAAAGTGTTATACAAACTGATATCTCCTATGGTGACCAATTTAGCAAACACCCCACAAAGAGTGACGTCAGTTTTGAGTTCCGACCACCTGCCTAAACCACACTCATATCTAAGCATCATTTATGAATGAATACACGTCATAACAATCAGATTTCTTTTGTGGGGAAAATAACATACTCTTTACATACTGTATTCTACTGTAGGATTTATTTCAACTGATGGCATCTGTCACTACCCCCAACACTTAATGTATCTATTTAAAAAGTGTGTTTTTGAATATATATATATTACACATCTGTCTTCATGCAATACGTATCTAAACCTGCTATATGGCATAGCAGCATAGTGGAATGTAACTAAGTACATTTACTCAAGTATCAGTTCAAACTTGAGGTACTTGTTTACTTGAGTTAATTCTTTTCACGCCATTCTTTTTTCGTTATTGAAATCTGGGAGTAAATTTACTATTTTGATAGTTTCAGACTTTTTTTTATTTGAAAACAAAAATATTGTTTCCAGTATCCCAGATGTAAGGATTTGTCTATTTTTGCTTTTAATACATTTTCTTGATTACTTACTTTTACTTAAGTAGCATTTCAAATACAGGACTTTTATTTGTAACATAGTGTTTTTACAGTGTGTTATGAGTAATTGAACGAAGTGAATCCTCCTTTCACCATGATCCATAAAGGAATCTCTCTCCATGCGTTTGTGCATTGTAATGCTTTGAATGCATCCATTCATCATTGTACAAGTCCCTGTTAAGCTTCCCTCATCTCTGTCATTTCACTCTCTCTGTTGTGCTGTTTATGTGCTGCTCTGCTGTGATGCAGAAACAAAAGCAGAGGAATACAAAGTTCTGAGTCAGCACTGATTCCCCCTTTGAACATTCAGTTTCATTTATGCAAATGTTCAGATCAACAGTTTTTCATGCTTCTCATCTGCTGGTACCTCCACCCCTAACCACCTTGTTACTACCCCCCCCAGGAGCATCTGCTCCATATGCAGGCTCTGGATCAGCGGGCCCAGGAGACCAGCATGGAGAACTGGTTGAATCCTCACTGCTCCCCCCGCTGTGACAGGAACTATGGACACCCCGTCTGATCACGGTGATGATGGCTGCACAATGCAACACCGTGCACATACACAGCAACCATCAGTTGTATTTCACTCAGATTTAACACACACACAAATAAGTACAGATGCCCTATCAAATAATGACATTTCCAAGTACAAATAAGCACATCTTGCCTCTTGGTCGGAGTAAAATTCCTTAAAATCATGTTCAACAGGATATCTGTATTGCCTTTCCCTGTTTTGTATCTGACTGATTCCTTGCTTCTGGTGTGTTATTTCACATCCTGTTGCTTTGTCATTTATCACACAGCAGGAAACCTCAGAAAACCCAGTCAGGCTTACAGTATATCATGTAATCATTCAGTCAGTTGTCTTGTTTTAATCATTTCAAACTTGCTTGAAGTAAACTGCTTTCATTGCTAACAGACGTCTACAGTAAAACAATAAAATGTGTGTGGTTTGGAACAGAGGCAAACATTTGTAAGCTTTCTGTTTACAAAGAAAAATAAAAGTTGCTGTTTGATATGCATATTTTTCAGAGTTTGAATGCAACTAAATATACCGTGTTTAACTGTTCATTATCTTTCTCCATAAACAGAAAAGGACCAGAGGTGACAACTTGGACAAGATAACAATGAAAAATATGTTCTCTCTCTCTATCTTTCCTGAAATATGATCATGTGAAGAATATATGGTCATTTATGTAATCATATTGTAATACAGCTGTGTAGTGTACTGTAGTGTTGAATTAAAAAGGTATCCATGTATCATCAGAATGAAATGTTGTAATACCATCACAAATATTAAAATGCATGCAACAACACTGGGTTACAATGGTTGTGTTACTATTCCTTAATTATTATTATTTATTTATTAATTATTTGGAAGGCTACTAACTTTACGTTAAAGCCTACTCTTGTTAAATATTTATATATTAACCTTGTTGCGGGCATATGGCTCCGGGTATTATTCGGTGACAGAAGGGAGTTTCTCGTCTCGAGGAGCGAATGATGTTTTCTTTGGCAGCGAGAAACATAAACGTGTTTGTTTATCCTACCATGTTTCTGCTTCTAACTGAACCTCAGTTTCAATTTTTTCACGTAGCCTAAATGCTGTCTCTTAAATACAGCACCTAGCATGTTATAACGGGGGCCAGATAACAGCAGGCGGATCTATTTCTTTGGGTTTATCACCTCCGCACAAAGAGGGCGTGTAGTCCCGGGCATCTGAGGTTCGTTTATCTCATTATAATTAGACCTAATGTGTCATGAATGAGCAGTCAAAGGTACAGGTCCACATGGCTGCATGAGGCCTGTAGAAAACAGCCGGTTTCAGAAAACTCTGAAATATGTATTTCAAAATCCCATATGCAAAGCAGTTTAGGCCATAACTGCGGTGGTGTGTGCGGCATATTAATATAAATAAACATTAAACAAATGGTTAAGATTGCCGCTAATTCTGAAATTGAATACACATTTGTTTATAGTAGGCTATAGAAGTTTGGGTCTATGAGTAAATAGCTGGATTGTTTTCATTTCATTCAAAAGTTTCAATTTGAAGTGGCCTAAAAGCAGACGTGAGATGCTCGAGGCATTCACATTAAATATTCATAAAGGTCTCTGGGTTTATGGTTTGCTCTGTGTTTCGCTCTCTGCAAACCTCCCCATGAGTAGGCCGCTGCTGCAGTGGATACTTCAGGTTTTCCTTGGAGCCCGAGGCCCTTTACATCGGCACCGGGTGCCTTTATGAGCTTGTAGGAATTTAAAATAATTTTTTTTTCATATAATTCCCAATGATCTCTAACATAAATTGATTGATGGTTGCTTAAGGCCTTCTTGTGTTACGGTTTTGGTAAATCTTTTAATTAATTCAAGCGCTGTCTTTAAATGTGACAAAAAAACACGTCGAGGCGCACGAGTTGTAATAAAAACTCTGACAGTAAAACACAACGAAATGAGAAAATCCAAAGTATTTATTGTAAAGCGACTAAAAAGTGTGAAATGATCTTCTTACAATAAATCCTTATGAACGTTTTCTATGAAAATGTAAAATATAGGCATACCATGTTAATGGAAAAGGTTGTTTAACACTTGGGAAAACTCCTGTATTTAATTTATTTGTTAACCATACAATTAGAAATGTTAGAGACATTACAAAAATCGGTCTTTGAATACAACACAAACGGATACATCTAAATACTTTTGAATTAAAAGTGCTTGAGTACATTTTTAAATATGAACCCCATTGAATTGAATAGTTTTTTTTTTCTTCAGTCAAATCGGTTCAAATTATAGAGAAATATTCAACCCACAGACTGCATTTATTATCTAAGCCTTGGCTCAATGATCATATTTGCTTGAACGTTTGAGAATCAAAAAAATACATTCTAGTTACTAACAATTAAAAATAGTGAAATTCAGAAGCTCTGTACATAAGTAGCCAGCTGCAAAGGCAACACTCAACTCATTCATGTTAACCAATGCAAGATGTGAAATAGACTTCATTTGATTTGGTCAATTCAAAAAACAGATGTTCAAATTTGTAATATATACACATATGCACATTAAGTAATTAGCTATAACAATACATACAAAAGGGGCGTTGCATAATATTCACACTAGGATTCTGATGCTAAACAAAGCGTGGCAGAAACAATCATCTTTTGTCTTTGAAGAAGCCTTTCGTAGTGCTGCTCTCCTTGATGGTGACGGTCAGGAAGTTGGTAGTCACATCCGTCACCATGACCTTCTCCACGTTGCCAATGGAGGGCCTCCACGTCACTTCATCCAAGTCCACGTCCAAGTCGAATCTGGTTGGGGACGGCCTGTCCATGAAGTAAGGCTTCTCCATCTGGGGAGGCTCCACGGGGCGGCCCAGGCTCGGGCTCATTCTGGACTGGTGCTTGAAGGTTACAGGAGCCAGGTGGCTGGAGCTGTCCTTAGTTCTGTGCGAGTCTGTTCTGTGGGGGTGCAGGCTGCGCTCTGAGTAGAGCTGGTTGAAGGAGCTTCCCCCGGAGAACCCCCGGTTGTTAGAGTGGTGATGATGATGATGGTTGTGATGGTGGCATTTATGACTGTGTATTTCTGGATGTCTGTGGGCCACTTTGATCCGCCTCATCTCTTGGCCCCCCTGGAGTTTAGTCAGTTTATGAGGGACGTGGCTACCCTGCTCCTCAGCTCTCCTCTTGTGGGGTTCAAAGATCGCAGGGCTGCAGCTACCGTCTTTGAAGCGGGGTTTAAGCTTAGGGCCTCTTTTTTTGGGGAGGTGGATGAGTTCGTCTGGACCACTTATCTGAAGGGAGGGCTGCTGGTACTCGCGAGTGCTCAGCTCTGGTGGATGGATGCGCATACTTTCTCCCCGGTTGACCGTGCTGGGTGAGAAGGTGGTGGGAACAACTGCTCTCAGGCCCTCCCTGGCCCTGGGAGTGAAGACCGGCTCTGGGGTTGGGTAGGTGATGTGCATTCCTCGAACTGCGTCTCCCCGGAACTCATAGGACTTGGCCTTGATTTTAGCCTGAGCCTATTAAAAGTTATGAAAATGAGAGGGAAATTATTATTTAAAAAAACAAAAACATAATTCCATTTCGTATTTTAATTTCTTAGTGGATTTAAAAAGCCTTTTGGAAGGGTATCATTAGGATCACCACAGTGTGGCATGCCAGGGCCTTGAAACCTGAGCAGCCAAATGGAATTCAGCCTTTCATTTTATTACTCACACCTGTGTTCTACTGTAACATGTCAAAATGTGTTCTATGAAAAGACCTGTTGATTGTTTAAATTACACCCTGACACTGAGCACAGCTATTACATTTAATGTATATATTACATTTTTAAGTGTGAAAATGTGTAGTTGCAAACAAGAACTAATGGGCAACTGCATTACCATGTACAACAGCAAACGGTTCCTGTCAGGCAACAGTATTTATTAGTGCATCTTTACCCATAAAAATGTAGGGCAGTAACGTGAATGTTATGCATCTATATTTAATAACCGTTATTAGTCTTATACAAATCACATACAGTTGGAGATTAAGAATGTATCAAGGCAGCAGCTTGCAAACAGGAATTTTAAACTAATATACATGTTGTAACATGTCAACAGCTTCCCATTAGCTAATACACACGCTGAATATGCATCATTACCATCATTAATGAGCCTCTCGCCTTAAGGAGAAATGCAATGAGGCTGAAACGAAACAGCCTGCTGGGTTTACCTTGAGCAGGAACGTCTTGGGCTTTGGTCCTCTCTTTTTGGGCCCGAAGAGCTCTCTTTCACGCTCCCTGTGGAAAATAAAGAGACAGACGCCCATTTTGAGTGTCACGGGAGCAAAGTGCACCGAGGACACCGTATATTTATCGGACTACATTCACTGGCTGTGTGCCCAGACATCTTAACGTTACCTCTCTTCAAAAGCCAAAAACAGGCGCGAGTCCAAAATATTGTCCTCTGGTTCCCACGTGCTGTATCTGTGAACAGAGACATGAGCGTGAAGTTAAAATGAGGAAACGACCGCTGACACTGTGGGGATGACCATTGCGTTAGCCTGCAAGCTAAACATCTCCAACGTGCTATAACGCTACTCCTCAGTTTTAATCCGGAGCTGTCTCGCTAGCTGTGGCGAGCTAACGACAGCCACAGCCGAGCCAGTCCAGCAGTTCACACAGTACAGACTAGAGACAGTAAACACAGAAAGCAGAGACAGCAGACACAATGTAGGACTTACTTGGGAGACCAACCCTTCCATTTCACAAGGTATTCAATCCGACCCTGCATGCCATCAGAAACAAACACAAATTAGTTCATTAGCTTGCAGGGCAACAGTAGAAATATATAGCGGTGCATTATATTTAACGCTGTGGGAGAAAAGAGCACGTCACATCTCGCGCCTACCTTCCTTATCCTCCGTTTGATGATAGACTCGGCAGCGAACACCCTCTCCCCGACAGCAGACAGCTCCATGTTTACTCCAGTGCTACCTACCGTTAGCTCAGCGGACGCTATCGTTAGCAGAGCAGATATTTTTTTCC